GTAAATGCATGCCTATTACAAAGCAGACACTTTCTGGATGTTGTATTAAATAAACGTGAACTATGATATACCGCGAATCATTGTGAACTATTGGACTTTCTGAAAAATGCTCTACAGATCTGGTAATGACAGACCTCACGCAGATTTTGCTTTATCCCTTTTCTTCAAATATACTAATATGGACCTTATAATTACCAATATTTGCTTCATATTCTCATTATTCAAATCACTTTAACCTGACGTCTGCTCTAAGTGCACCCAAGATGGTTTCAATTGAATAGACGTCAGCTGACGATGACTAATTATTTTCGTCGTTAGGCTCTGCACAAATTGGCCAACGCCATAAATGTGCACACATTTCGTCAGTTTTCAGACACATCCCACTGCTGCAATTGCGATCTCAATGTTGGCGTCGGCTTGCAAGGTGCTTATACGCTTGCAGGTTATCATACTTTCTTGATATATATGTGGTTCGATAACAAGGTTTTATCGTAAAAATGGTAAAACCAGATCAGAGGTGTCAGAAGACACTTGATGCTCACCAAATTATGTCTTTTAATAACGTGGTGTATCGTGTCTTTTAAGCTTAAAAGGTCAGTTTTTATAATATTCACTTAAAAAAACCAAGATTACTCTTATAACGTACACTTTAAATCTTGCCGAGTTGCTTAACCGGACGCTGCAACTCGGTTTTACCACTGGCGTTTGCATATCGCGTTTGCAGAAAGTCAGTAGAAACATTTGAGTCAAGTGGAATTTAACGGGTTAGAAGTCAGGCATTGAGTCACCTCTGAGTCAACCAAGTATTGATGCACACTCGGCAACAGATTTGTCCTATTCCGTGGCTGTTTGGAAAGTACTTACACGAAGCCGTGCCATTCAATGTAAACTGTAAATAAAGTTGATTTTTTGAATCAAAAAAAGCAAGTCGCGCAGTCGTAAAGGACCAACGAATGCAAGACAACGGATTAGTTTGGTGAAAATCATCTACTAGCTTAAGCATACAAAGTGTTCAATGAAATACTTAAGACCAGGCGAAATAATTCTCTAATGTTTCAGTTCTGCAGAACAAAACTGCTCTCAAGTTCGCTACAATAAATTCGGGATGTTGTGTCTGGCTAAGTTGGTCGGTGAATCTCTGCAGAGACAGAAGCACCAAGACTACTGTGGATTAAATCAGGACAAGAAAAGCAAGCGTAAAATGCATGCTCACCATTGCCGTTCTCGTTGACAAGATTCAAAGGGGTTTTTAATGATATTTCCTCTATTTTCACTGTAGCATGTAGTCGTAATGCCGTCGAAGTGAGCTCAGTTTACTGACCTGATGGTGACAATGGTTCATCCGCATTGTATTGGTTTCTGATATAAGACGACAAAAAACAACACTATCCCAAGTCGACCCAAAGAGAAGGCATTTCTAGCTTTTCAAGGAGAAGAGGTGTTGAAGATTTAGGATTCCACATGATTGCATAACGTTGTTTTTGTCTTGTTCATTTCAAATCCCAAAAATCTGTCTTTTGCTTTGTTTTTTTTTAAGTTAAGGTCAAACTTGACTTGATTTAGTGTACACTTTGATGACAAATCACTCACACTTTGGCCTAGGCAGGAGATGTGGTAAACAAAATCAATATTCAGGCGGACTGAGTAGTGCCTGCATGTGAGGAGGATGCGGGGTGTTGGTGCAGGTACGCAGAAAGGATGTTGTCTTATATTCATTGTGATTGGCGCACGCACTAGGTAGTCCACAGTTTAAGAGGGGCTGTTTATGCAAAGATGGAAGTTTGTAATGGCTGAGCAATTTGATTAGTTGTGGATTGCAGTGGTGGATTGTGGAGGAGAAAGAGGATGAGGCTTCAGTGTGACGGTGTACGAGGTGGTGTGCGGTCGTGTTAGCGGTGGTTGTTCTGGCAGTGGTATGCTGTGTAATTTGTTAGTGTGACTGGTTTAGGTGGTGGGTTTGCAGTCTTCTTTTTCTGCTTCACTTTCTCGACCTTGGTCGTCGATTGAATTGCGGTGTGTGGCGTGCGTGCTTGCGTGAGGAAGATAGCAGGTTCTGCGGGAAATCACAATGACTTGGTGGAATTGCGTCGTGTGTCGTGGTTAAGGTGAGTTTTTAGCACAGATAGATACGGCGTCAGGTTTCGTGGTGGATACTGCGCCGCAGTGAGGAAGCGTGCCACTAGTTGTTGCACGTAAGAGAGCTTGGTGGTTGGTGTGTGGTCTTATGGATTGCACCTCGTCTTATTTTCGTCGGAAACAGAGACCACCTCCTGGGGAGGATTGAGGATTCTTGAGTGCTCCGGTGCGCCAGTGACAACCGCTTTGGCTTCCTCGGGCAGCGCATTGGTGCAGGAAGAAGGAGATGGAGAAGGCGGGAGAGAGGGTAGAAGTGAGAGAAAGGAGGAGGAGGAGCAGGAGGAGGATGGAACCGCTGCGGCGAGTGTGAGTAGGCAGTACTGATAATTTTCATGTGCTAAGACAACAGGTTAAGTATGTGGCATAGTTGTAAGTGCTGTAAATTGCAATATTTAGTGTGTGCATGTGTGTGTAGAGCCCCAGAATGTGTGAAAAGGGATGTTTGGGTGGTGTGGGAAGCAGTTATTTGGTATAGTTGTGCGTGACCCGTTTTGAGCTTCAGCAGACCTTCGATAAGAGCCCATGGGAGGGGGTGGGGCGGCTCGGGCCGGACATAAATATACTTCACGAAGAAGGGTGCGACATGGAAGGGGGGTTGAGCATAGTACCTGAGTGGGTGAGCTAGTGTAGATGTAAAATAAGGTGGTGGTGGTGATGATTGCTGAATATTTGTGAGTAGCACAGAGCGTCACTGACTGACTCTAGGACTGCGTAGAAAATGCAGTTTTTTTTTTTTAGAAAATAACGAAGCGGGGCAGTTTAAATCATGGACTTGGAATATTAGAAGTGTTACGGGGATGATGTTTAGGTGTAAATTAAATTAGTGCTGATTTTCTGTAAGTAGGCATAATTTTTTTGCATTAGCAACCGCAAGTGACGTGAAATGTTCCACGTTGATTGAATGCATGTTTGACCAGATGGGTGTTTAGTAGCAGCAGTGCTAGTAGAAGTAGTAGTTTTGGTATTAGTACTGGTAGTAAGTAATGGTGAAAATAGTAGCAGTTGGTGTTGTAGTTTTGGTATTAGTACTCGTGGTAGTGACTGGTAGAAGTTATAGTAGTTTAAGTAGTATTTGTAGTTCGTAGTGGTTTTGGCATTATTGATAATAGTGGCAGTCTTGGTTGAATAAACACTCCATCTTGCGAGCTCTGCCAAAAGTGACTGGGTTGAAAAAGTCATTAATGGTCTAAACAAAATCGCTTTGTTTTCCTGCGCTTAGTGTCTTTGAACAGCAAATCGGTGAGATTAAAATAAGCATCTGAGACGCCACTTGGATTTAGAAGGTGTGCTAGGACGACTGGGATGGTGGAAAGACCTCGATGAACTTTTGTTGGGGAAATTGCGTCAGCGAGTACAAAATGAAGGAAAATAGCAGCTTCTTTGGTGTTAATGGTCGACGGCATTTTGCAAAATGCCGTAGAAAAAGCGTTCTTGACTAAATGGCACTTGACTGAGAACAGTTTGGTTTCAAGATTAATTTAGGCAGAACACTTGTCTTAAGTACAAAATCGAGTCACATCTAAGACAGAGAGGCCAAGAAAATCGCAATTTGGAAACTGGGACAATGTCTTGTGATGGCAGCATCATCACAAAATCTTTGCTCATCTCCAATTGCCATAAACTAGAATTCGTTGTGACGATATGGAGAAAAAATGCCTACTTTTATGAGCCTAACAGAGGCATCGTAAGATGCATTGCATAAAGCAAAATTGCATATTTTCGAAAAGTGTTGTGTAAATCATGGCTATTTTATGAGAAATTTATTCGTTTTCTGGCACTTGCTGCCAACTCTCAACTTAAACCATCTGTAACAGTTGGAGAAAAGTAACACTGCGAAAATAATAGTGATAGCTTTAGAAATCGTCACTTGGTGCAAGGTGCATGTGACATGTATCTGCGTGTGATAATCGGCTTACGGAAACAGCAGAGAATAGGACTTCACGGATGGATTATCGTCTCAACCTAGGGCCGTGATTTTCGCTCCATCATCTCACCTAACACCTGCGACTCCTGTATATAAAGAGGCTTAGACATTTGAATATATCAAATATTCCTTCACGAGGTGAACGAAGGACACTACATGGAAAAGAACGCTTCCATGGACTCTTCGACACTGGATATTTCCATCGATGTGGACGCCTCGGAAAGCATGGACATGTGCATTGGTGAGTATTCTGTTTTCCTTCATCGTCATATTCAATTTTGACGCACTTGTTTTGTTACTGTTGACGCCGCTAGTACCTAATCGACTTTGCACGAGAAAGAACTCGAAAATTGCTGGCTTCAATTTTAGACAACCAGAAATGCCTTTAATTTCACACGAATATTTACCTTGGATTGTCCTCAAGCCTAGGTTTTGACGTTGATTGGCCATCGAATGCATGTTCTAACCTCTGACACAAGCCCGACCAGCATTTCGCCATATTTCACGACTGCGTTGAGGCAAGTCCAAAAGAAACGAATTATCATGGTGTCGTTGTTGCTGTCATAGTCCCTCAAACTTGTACCTCACAGCAAGCAAACTCCAAATGTGTCCATAAATGCAATTATCCTGTTCTAGGTGAACTCAACACGACTGGGCAATGTTTAGACCACTTACGTCCATTGTTGGATTGGTTGTCCTGCCTTGTGTAAAGCCTTGCGGATAAATGCATTTGTTGATTTTACGGAAACAGTGATGAAAAATAACTCGCAATTTTTTACTTGTTGGTGTAATGAAACTACGACGACGGCGGCAGGGGATAATGTGGAGGTGGTGGCGAGTGAGATCACGGCTCGGATGCAGTTAGCACCAGGTGAACAAAATTAATCGGCTTATGAGCATATAAGGGGGAATTAGACTGTAAAGCAAGCGCTAATCACCTGAGTGCATAGTTCACATTGGCCAGTGTTGCCTGATGAGAGTTCAAGTTATCAGGTCTGTATAAATGATTGCAAGATAGCGTCGCTTGATCAGTTGTGTCAGTTCGTCTTGTGAAGATGGAGTGTGATAGCAACACTGCTGATGCAAGCTTGGGTATGTTGTCACAAACTCGGCTTGCTCCTTATAAGTATGCATTGCTGATTTACGCAGTGTTCTTTCTTCTAATGTTCATGTTGGTTGCTTATGTCTAGGCAGTTGAACACATTTCTCTCTTGTGTGTGTAAGTGGAGGGATCCGAGTGTCTAAGGCGTAAAAATCGTTTCTGTGAGTTGATATCACAACGCGTTTTCTTATGTTTAGATGATACTATCACACTTAACCGACAAAATCAAAGGCTAGTCTCGGAAAAGGCCAGAAGTAGCATCCGTAGTATGGCAGAAAATAATCAGGAGGCTAGCACTCCACCGCATAGAACAAAGACACGAAGAGTTTGCCAAAAACAACGTCGCCGACGTCGCCACAAACGAAATGCCATTGCACGACTCCAGGAGCAGACCCAACAGACAAGCCTTACAAATAACCGTCAACCGACAATTACTAACAACAACCCTGACATCAACTTCCGCCAACCGCGGTGTACCTGTATGAAGACGGCCAGATGCAGCACATGGCGGGGAAACGAACGAAATTATCGACGTAAGTTGTCCACACATTCGCCAGTGGTGATGCGTTAATCTACAGCGGGATAATTGCATTTCTGTGCGCATTGTAGCGCTAGTTGTCTGTGAAGTACATGTTCGAGGGAGAGTCAGAGCTGAGCAAACTGTATGGACGAGCAGTAATGTACAGCTGTTCCTGGAAAAGACTCGTGCCTTCATTCAAGCACTGAAAGAACGCCGCCATGATAGGTCCTTATTTGTGGACGTGCCTCAACGCAGTCATGGAATATCACAAAATGCTGGTCGCGCACGTTTCAGACGTTAGAATGTGCGTGCATGTATTCGCTTGCAAATCAGCATCGAGACCTAATCGTCCTCTCCATCCAGCCGTCCTGCCATCCAGCCAGCAAGCCATCCATTCTCTTATCCATCCCTCGCCAATATTAAACCATCAAACATTGCTCTTTTCTCATTCCGTAGTGCGCATTTAATTGCTCCTTTGTCTTCTCTCTCAGTCGGCTAACTTACTGCTTTCCCGCACTGCCATTGCACTTTGTGCCATGTATCTGTTTGCATGTATGATAAATGCATTCCACTGT